GGGAGCCATGAAAGGGGATCGGATTTAACAAATGCTTGGCCATGTTAAGGCACTAAGATATGGGACTCCAGGGTAGATTGGCAGAGACCCTGGAGGTTTTTCGCCTTCCTCTGTAGCATGGGGCACGGGTCACTAGCGGGAGGATTCTCTGCATCTTGGGGTCTTTGAACCATCGTTTCAAGGACTTCAATATCTGAGCTATAGGCGAGAGGATTATTCTAGGAGGGGTGGGTGAGATTCTGTGGCCTGCACTGTGCAGGGGGTCAGACTAGATGATCGAAATGGTCCCTTCTGACCTTAAAGTCTATGAGTCTATGAGGAATGGCTCTGACGAGGGCAGAGGCATCACTGCTCTGTGAGACAGTGGGCAGCGCTTATTGGGCAGGGACTGTAGTATCTAGACATCTCGGCTGTGTCTAGACTGGCAAGTTTTTCTGCAAAAGCAAGTGCTTTTGCGGAAAAACTTGCCAGCTGTCTACACTGGCCGCTTGAATTTCCACAAGAACACTGCCGATCTCATGTAAGAAATCAGTGCTTCTTGCGGAAATACTACGCTGCTCCCATTAGGGCAAAAGTCCTTTTGTGCAAATGGGCCAGTGTAGACAGCTCAGATTTGTTTTGTGCAAAACCGTGTCTAGATTGGCACGGACGCTTTTCCGCAAAAAGTGCTTTTGAAGAAACACGTCCTGCCGATCTAGCCGCTCTTTTCCGCAAATGCTTTTAACGGAAAACTTTTCCATTAAAAGCATTTGTGGAAAATCCTGCCAGTCTAGACACAGCCCTCATGGTCTTCAATGCATTTATCCCTCCAGCCCCTCAGCACATGGGCTGGGGCTTAGAGAGGCTATGGGACTTGTACAAGGTATCACAGAGAGCAGGGATTTGAACCCAGGTCTCCCCCGTCCTAGGCTGGTGCCCTGACCATTGGGCTTTCCTTCTGTCCTTCCGCTTGTTGCCGCCATGGGGACTGTCCAGGGCCACGAGGCATTCCTTTGTGTGGGTGCTGCCTGCATGGGCCTGGACAGCTCCATGTCAGCTGGCAATACTACTCTCCTGTGACGGGCTTGATTAACTCCCTAACAAGAGATGTCAGATGGTCAGGCTTGGTCATTAGCCAAAGGTAAACACAACATCCTTGAGAACAGAAGGCATGGGGTACCAGCCAGCCTGGGGGCAGCAGTGTGGCGGGTCGTCCACTGCCTCACAATAGGAGCATCACTGTACTTCTGCTTGTCCCGCTCCGCCCGGCGCTTACCAGGGCGGGTGGGCAGGGCGGGGTGCCTGTCCCGCTCCGCCCGGCGCTTACCAGGGCGGGTGGGCAGGGCGGGGTGCCTGTCCCGCTCCGCCCGGCGCTTACCAGGGCGGGTGGGCAGGGCGGGGTGCCTGTCCCGCTCCGGCCGGGGAGTGCCACGGGTGGGG